ATGGTGTTATTACACGGCATTATAAACCCACCACTTCGTGTTTCAACTCACTATCCTCCAATAGATTTTCAAAGTTTTCTCTCTCCTTGTCTGGCATCAATTTTGTTAGTTATTTATTTTGTGATTTTCTTTTCAAATTTTACAATTTTTTTTTTAAATTTTGTTTTATAAGGTTTTCTAGAATAGAATACCCTAAATATTAGTGTCCATGACCACCCCTTCACATTAGTAAGACTCCATTACTAGTAATAAATTTATGAGTAAATTATATAAATTTAGAAAAAAATATACTGAATTTAACAATTTTAGTATAATTATATGAAATATTTGGTCAAAACACTCTTATTATTCACTTATATTGAGAAAGACACACCAATTAATTTTAACGGGAAAAATTCTTGATATAACTTTTTTTGTAGATTTAAAAAATAAAATAATTTCATGAATTAAATTAATGAATAACTTTATTCTTTATTTTATAAACCAATTTCACTTTCATATGTCTTTTCTCTTATACAACTCTTTTAATGTTCTATGTTTTTTCTCTGTTGCACAAATATTCACCATCTCCATCTTCCGGCCGATTGTCACTGCTGTCGCTGACTACCATTTTCATCGTCTAGCAGTGCTACTTATTGTTTCCACCATTAATCACCATCTTAAATCTACCACTGGTGACTACTATTTTCATCGTCAATCTTCATTATCTTAGATCCGTTATCGACGAACTCATATATGAAACTGAAGACTTCAATTATGAAACTAGCGACTTCAGTTTTGTTAGCAAAAGACCACTAGAGTTGTCTATTTAGTCTTTGTAGCGAACATGAAAATTTTACTGTCGACACAGAGTAAAATTTTGCTATGGTAATATTGTTTATTCAATATCTTGATAATTTTTTTGTTTAATATTTCTACTAGTAATGGTAAAATCATAGTAAGTGTAGTGGTTGGTGATTGTGATGATGATAGTGGAATTTATTTTTTTAATATTAAATTGACAGTAAAATTTCACTGTCATGCACATAGTAAAATTTTACTATTTACCAAATAGTAAATTTTGAATAGATCTTTTTGTTATTTGCTAAGTGGTAGTGATGCTGTGGTAGTGGTTGTCATTGAAAAATGATTGTCGAAGATTCACTAGAAAGTGTTTGTTAGAAAAATAGTTGTTGATGATCAACAATCGAAAAAGAGTCGCCAAAGATGACCAGAAACTGTCAGATGTAGTGGTCGTGGGTAGCTAGTGGCTGGTGGTAATTTGAAATGACAGGGAAGAAGATTAGTAAGACTTGAAATTTTTGTCATATTTTAATTATATTATGATATTTTCCCTTGATGAATGAAAACTTTTTAACTTGTCATTTTATCAAGAAAAATTGAGACTAAAAAACGTTTCACATAAAATCCATAATAATTGAGCTATTTTAAAGTCTTAAATAACGTAATACTTAATCCCATTTTATCAATACTTTGTTAGTCATTAGTATGGAACAATGATGTTACCATCTTTTTTTACATTAAAATATATATTTTCTTAGTTTATTCTGGTGTCTTCATATACTATGTGCATTAATTTCGATTTTTTGTGTAGTACTAAAAAAGAGGTCCATCAATGTAATTATACCCAAACTATAATCTTACTAATATTGTCTCCAAAACGTTAAGGAATATTAGTGTGTTAAGAGTTTAGATTTGTGTTGAATAAATCTTTGGTTGTCCAAGTCTTTAGGAGTCTGTTAGTTTACCAAGACCAAAGTCAGTTCCTATTTTTATGTTTCCACAATCAGTTAGTTGCTTATATTTTGTTTTGTTAGTTCATGTACTCTACTATTTAAGTAGATGTTTGCAATGAATAAAATATAGAATTTTCCATCAGTTTATCTCTCAATTACTTATCAAGTGGTATCAGAGCTGAATACTCTGAACTGGAAAGTAAACAATGTACTCAGAGCTGAAGCTCTTGTCTACTTTCTAGTGTATGTGTTTTTCTGAGCAATAACAGCCACTCTCTCTTAATAGCATCAGAGACTTTTGTGCAACATGCTATACCTTGATTTGATGGTCACTATGACCATTGGAGCATGATGATGGAAAATTTCCTAAGATCCAAGGAATATTGGCATCTCGTTGAAGCTAGAATTTTAGAAGTAGAGTCTAGTACCATGATAGATGCGCAGAAAACGAAGCTAAAGAAACAACGATTGAAGAACTTGAAAGTGAAAAATTACTTATTTCAAGCAATTGATTGAACCATCCTGGAGACAACTCTCACTAAAAATACTTCAAAAAAAATATGGGATGCAATGAAGCAGAAGTACCAAGGTACTGCAAAGGTGAAGTGAGCACATCTTCAAGCACTCCGTGTGCAATTTAAGACTCTTCGCATGCAACAGACAGAGTCAAATGAGGAATATTTCTCCAGAACCATGTCTATTGCAAACAAGATGAGAACCAATGGAGAAAAGATGGCACACATTACCATAATTGAGAAGATTCTTCGATCGCTGACTTCGAAGTTTGAACATATGGTTTGCTCGATTGAGGAATCCAATGATCTTAATGCTTTTTCCATCGAAGAATTGATGAGTTCGTTGAGAGTCCACAAGCAACGGATTAATCAGCATGTACTAGTGGAGCAAGCATTACAGTTACAACACTTATCCAACAACAATTTTTTTCCCAAGAAAGGGTACAGTAAAGGAAGGGGAAGAAACAACAACAGTAGTGATGATCCATCCACACATGAAAATCAAGTTTTTGACCCCAAAGGCAAAGGAAAATGATGGGATAATCATCAAGATAGAAACCAGGCATCAAAACCATTTGACAAATCCAAAGTCAAATGCTATAGATGTCAAAGGTATGATCATTATCTTTCTGAATATAGAACTAAATTGTATAAAGAAAAGGGAGCAAAATCAATTTTGTAGAGAAAGAAGAAGAGGCTTCTCTTTTTATGGCTAGCAACATAGCTGAAGAGACCCATCAAAGAATGTGGTACTTGGACACGGGATCAAGTAATCATATGTGTGGAAACAAGTCTATATTCTTTGAATTAGATGAGTCATTTCATTCCTCTGTCAAATTTGGAGATGATTCTATTACCTTTGTTTTGGGAAATGGCACCATTCCAAAAGTTCTCAACACACTATTTCAAAAATGTGTTTCATGTACCAAGTTTGAAAACTAATCTATTGAGTGTAGGTCAACTTCAAGAAAAGGGATATGAGATCATTAAATAAGGAACTTGTAGAATTCAAGATCCAAATAAGGGACTAATCACTCAAGTTAATATGACAGCAAATATGATGTTTTCTTTATACATTCAGAATGATATCCTTTCTTGTTTTTTCGTTGTGGTGAAAGATTTATCTTGGCTATGGCATTTTCGCTATGGGCATTTGAACTTCTCCGATTTAAAGTTGCTTCACCTAAAGAATATAGTGAATGGTCTTCCAGAGATTGATTATCCTCAGCAAGTGTGCGAAGAGTATGTAATTGTCAAACAACACTATGATCATTTCCCTAAAAGACAAGCATGGAAAGCTAAGATGGCGTTGGAGCTTGTTCATTCCGATATATGTGGGCTCATTGATCTACCATCCAATGGTAACAAAAGGTATTTTATTACCTTTATTGATGATTTTAGTAGAAAAACATGGCTCTATTTCTTGTAGGAAAAATCTGAAGCCTTTTTAGCATTCAAAAATTATAATGCCCTTGTTGAGAAAGAGGTTGGAAAAGCTATCAAAACTCTTTGAACATATCGTGGTGGGGAATACAACTCACGAGAATTTGCAAATTTCTGTGAGATGCAAGGAATTAAAAGACAACTCATAACATCCTATATGCCACAACAAAATGATGTTACAGATAGGAAAAATCGTACAATTTTAAATATGGTGCGGAGTATGCTGAATAGAAGTCTTCTTTCAAAGAGTTTCTGGCCTGAGGCAGTCTTGTGGAGTATACATCTTCTAAACAGAAGTCCAACCATGGCAGTTTGTAATCGGACTCCTAAAGAAGCTTGGAGTGGCAGAAGACCAAGTGTTGGCTACTTGTGGCTTTTTGGGTGCATTGCATGTGCACATGTTCTAGATGAGAAGCGGAAGAAATTGGATGATAAAGGAGAAAAGTGTATTTTTCTCGAGGTTAGTGAGCACTCAAAGGCTTATAAATTGTATAATCTCATCACCAAGAAAATCGTCATCAGTCGAGATGTGATCTTTGATGAAGAGAAAATATTGACAAATATTGTCAATAGTTCAAGCCAGAACATTCCTATAAGCTTTGATGATGAAGAAGAAGAAAGACATCCTCAGCCTACGATTGGTGAATAATAACCATTGCATTCCAGCTCTTCAAGTCAACCAGCAGCAACACTTGAATAAGATCACTCTAAAACTTCAACCATAATATGGCCTAAACGCACCAAAAAGAGACCAGTATGAATGCAAGATTATGAGGTAAGTGGTGTTGATCAATCTGATGACCCACTTGTACATTTTGCTCCATTATCAGATTGTGATCCTATTACTTTCCAAGATGCTGTTAAAGATCCAAAATGGTAGAAAGCCAAGATGAAGAGATGGCAACCATTGACAAAAACAGATTTATCCAAAGGGAAAAAGTCAATAGGTGTCAAATAGGTCTACAAAACATAGCTGAATAAGGAAGAAAAGGTTGATAAATACAAAGCTCGCTTGGTCGTAAAAGGTTATAAGCAGGAATTTGGTATCGACTACGAAGAGGTTTTTGCTCCAGTTGCAAGATATGATACCATTCGACTAGTACTTGCATTGGCAGCACAAAACTCATGGCCAATCTTTTAGATGGATGTAAAATCTGTGTTCCTACACGGTGATTTGCAAGAACAATTACACTTTGATCAGCCTCCAGGATATGTGTAATAAGGGAATGTGAAGAAGGTATACAACCTAAGGAAGGCTTTGTATGGGTTAAAACAAGCTTCTCGAGCTTAGTATAGTCACGTAGCTATGTATTTTTCCAGGTCGGGCTTCCATCAATGTCCATATGAGCATACTTTATTTATCAAATCTGGAACTACTAGTGAGCTGCTAATTGTGTGTTTATATGTGGACAATTTAATCTACACTGCAAATAATAGTGCTATGTTTGATGATTTTAAACAATCAATGATGATTGAATTTGATATGTCTGATCTTGGATTGATACACTACTTTCTTGGCATTGAGGTAGCACAAACTTTTGCTGGAATTTTTATTTCACAAAAGAAATATGTTAGAGAAATTCTGGACAAGTTTCAAATGGCGAATTGTAATTTTGTTGGTACACCAATTGAACTTGGTCTGAAGTTAATCAAGGATCATGAAGGAAAGAAAGTTGACATCACTGTATACAAACAAATCATTGAGAGTCTTATGTATTTGATTACGACCAGGCCAGACATTATGCATGCAGTTAGTTTTATCAGTAGATACATGGAAAATCTTACGCAAATGCATCTCCTAGTAACCAAAAGAATTTTCAGATACTTGGTTGGGACCATTAATTTTGGTATTCTTTACAGAAAGGAAGGAAATTTTGGATTATTTGGCTTCATTGATAGTGACTATGTAAGTGATCCATATGATAGAAGAAGCACCTCAGTTTATGTCTTTATAATGAGATCAGGTGTTGTTTCTGGTCATCAAAGAAGCAACAAATTGTTACTTTGTCCACTACCGAAGCTAAGTTCGTTACTACTGCATCAAGTGCATGTCACGCAATCTGGTTGAGGAGACTACTTGAAGAATTACATTGTCATCAATAAGGCCCTATTTCAGTCTACTGTGATAGTAGTTCAGCAATTAAACTCTCAAAAAATCCCGTTCTACATGGAAGAAGCAAACATATTGATGTGATTCAAGCTGAACCGGGCCAAATTCACACTGAAGACTTTTAAATTTGAAATCGTCATTTTCTTTTGGTTATTCACATGGGGCATGTTTTTACGTATTCACGTTTGGCATATAGTTTGCATTAGAAGAATAGAACCATTCTAGAAAATGGTAGCTATTTAAAAAATATAGTTTGCATTAGAAGAATAGAACCATTCTAGAAAATGGTAGCTATTTAAAAAATTGTAGTTTAAAATCTTTGATCATTTTTGCATAATAAAAATGTGCAATGCTAAACAATTCAACAAATATTTTCAAATATCTTCTTTTTACTTACTAATAAAACATGTAATAATTGAATTTTAATAATATAATAAAAAATAATTTTTAGTTTAAGGTCCTGATATTAAAATTTTATAAGATAAAAAATACAATATTTTTATAATAGTTGAAGTCTCTCAACATTTTCATAGAGAAATTTTTAGCTCTTTATAGAGAAATTTCTTTGAAATTGTGATGAGTTGAAATTTTTCTAATAATATTATTGATGAATTTTAATTAATAAGAAAAAATATATTGAATCTCTCCTATTACTCAAAGTTAGAGAAAGATGTTTCACTAATTTTTCTTATAATAAATTTCACTTAAATGAGTAAATAAAATTTACTAGTTAGCAATTTCAAAGAAAAATGAATTTTCTTAAGAGTTATACTAAGAATTTCATATAAATTATTAAATTTTCTATCAAACATTTTCACTTAAATGAATAAATAAAATTTATTAGTTAGCAATTTCAAAGAAAATGAATTTTCTTGAGAGTTATACTAGGAATTTCATATATTATCAAATTTTTTACTAAATTTCTCATATGAGTGTGGTATCCATGCCTATGTAGTTTGTGTGAATCCCACACAAGGAGTTGGAAGCACTGTTGTGCGACCTTATAGGTTTATTTCGGAATCTGTTTTGATAATCTAAACCATTCACATTTTATAATACATCGAGTAGAATAAACTTGTAAAAAATTGAATTAATCGAATATCATTAAACATTTCATCCACTCATATTTGTATTCATTTTAATACTTCAAATCAGAATGACATTTATTTTTTAAAATATAAATATGAGTGGATAAAAAAATTAACGATATGCAATTAACTTAATTTTTTACAAGTATATTCTACTTGATATACTCTAAAATATAAACGGTTTAAATTATTAAAACAGATCCCAAAATAAACTAATAGAATCACATAGCAATGCTTGCTATGTTAGGTGTACAGCCGGCACTCCAAATCCACCTCACATCCATTTGAAAAATTTAATAGAAAGTCCATTTGAAAAATTTAATAGAAAGTTTAAAAATTTGTTTAAGATAATAGCACTATTTCTTTCTTAAAGGGGATGATGATGCAGCTCAAAGTCGATGAACACGAACACAAACAGGGCCTAGCATTTAGATTCATTGCCACATAATAATTCCACTATCTCTCTCCTAACTTTTTCCTGTTGGTTTTTTTTCACATTATTCCATTTCTTTATTCTTTCCTTGAATCCCTTTTCCTTCATGATAGGGAAAAAGAAAAAGGTCTCCTCCGAGTGGCCAAAATTTTAAAAAGATTTAGGTCTTGTTTGACATATATTAAAAAAAAATTAAAAAGTCAAAAAATTACTATTCTATTTAAATTATATCATTTTATTTTAGATCACTTCAAACTCAATCCATACTTAACTCATATTTAATAAAAAATCAAAAAATATATTTATTTAAAACATTCTAAATCACCCGTTAACTTCCTCAGAAGTCGGAATCTCCTCAACTCTTAGAAATTGAAAATAAATAAATAAAAATGAAAATTAGTATACCATTTCAAAAATTGAAAAAATTATTCAAAGATGGAACTTAAATGAGAGCCAAAAAAATAAGTGCAAATGTAATTTATAGAGTCAAGTCTTAATCTGTATACATTTATACCACTCCCCCAAAATAAAAATAAAAATAAAAATAAAAATAGACACACACTTCGCCAAATTAGAGAAGAATTGAGACCGAAGATTGACTGCGAATGAGGCGTGATACGCGGATTTGTGAGTCTCGTTGCAGCGAGATATCAAAATTTGAGTCTTGCTATGGCCAGATATTTGAATTTGAGTCCCACTATTGACTATTGTGGGATACATCTTGTCCTCCATTTAACTTCATCCTGTACAAAAGTAAAAGTAGAAGTAAAATAAAATAAAAACAGAGAAGAAATTAGAGAAGATCAGAAGAGTTGGGTCAAGCAGACGATTATTTCAAGAAAAATGCCAAACTCAAAAATGCAAATGCTGATTGATTATACAAATCAAAAACCCAAACTTTTATTCACAAACCCACATGGAAAATGTTAATTTCTTGACAACCAAACACAAAAAATCAAAAAAATAAAAATAAAACTAAATAGACCTAAGGAATAATCATATTACGAACATGACTCCCAATACCCAAGAGGTGACATATATGAAATTAATTACAACAATCATCTCCATCATAGGCAACAAAGGACCCATATCACCAATCTCTCTCTTTCTTTTTCCATTGTATAACCCAAAAAAAGCCATCCCATAAAAAATAAAAAAGTAAATTAAAAAAGGGAGTGGCTTCTTTGCCGGTTGAAATTTCAACTGGATTAAACAGTTACGCTTTCAGATCAATTAAATTAATTAAATAGAAAATCTGGTAAAAATTATTAAATAAAAAACTTTTATAGATAGAAATGATAAGAGTTTATGAAAATAAGGTTTAATTAAATTTTTTTTGGACAACTTTTACTGATGAGAGTATTCGTTTGAATCTTATTCTCAATGAAGACAATTGAATATATTATTATTTAATTTTAAAGGTAAAATTGTTAATTTGATTACATGATTAATTTTTAAAAATTAATAAAAATTATATAATTAATTTTACATGATCATCATCAAAATATAAAATAAAAATTAATTTGATAAAAAAAATAATTAAATGTTTAAAAGATTTATAAATTTTATATAATTTTATCTTTAATAGCTAAAAATAATTTTTAAAAATTTAAAAATAATTTTTTGACATTTATTTTTATCAAATTAATTTATATTTTATCAAATTAACGATTTTACTCTTGAAAAAACTCATAATAGCTATAATTAGAACAAGATTCAAAATTTAAAATCAAATATGTCACAATTGAAAAGTCAGGAATTAAAATGACACAAATCTCAAATTATAGAGACCATTAATGTAATTCACTTAAAAATTTAATTGTTTGGTGCAGTTGAAAGTTTCAAAAAAAAAAAGAAGCCAAATCTTGAAAATAAAAAATAAAAAATAAAAAGTAAAAATGGAGGAAAACTAACTGCGGCAGCGAGTAATGGCACTGCAACCACGGGAGTAGGGATTGGCCTGGGCACCAGATCGGCAATTGTAGTAGGAGGCGCCACGTCTGGAGCAGGGTACAGTGTTCCTCTGAAGCGCACCGTAGCTGATGTAGCGTGTTGAGGCTAGGATGCGCCTGCTGACCTCAGAATCGAGCCCGAACTCCTCGTCGTCGGCGAGGCACTCGGCGATGGTCCCCCTGCATCCGGATCTAGTGGTGGGTAGAACCCCCCACCCGACCACCAACTGGTGCTCGTGATCCACACTCGCAACGACGCCGTATGATGAGAAGAAGATCAGAGTGGTGATGAAGCATAGTGTCAAGATCTTGGAAGAGGTAGCCATTGTTGTTGTCTTTGAAGCTTTTTTTGTTGTTTTGGTAACCCTTTGCTATGTGCTGTGCTGTGAGAGTCTCTCTCTCTTTCACAATAATAGCAGGCAGGGAAGGAAGGGAATTGTGTGTTATAACTAGTTCAGGTTGATTAACTGACCTTGTTTTACATGTTATTTGCCTTATTGCCATTCAATTTGATTATTTACCTTTTTTTTAATTAAAAAAAACAAAAGAGTTTCGTCCTTCAATTGTGGGGGGATGAGTTTTTGGTACCCACCCTTCTTCTTATTTTTTTATTTTGACTTTAATAGATTCCCATAATTTTATTTATTTATTTTTGTATGTGTATTTTATAATCTACAAAATGCTGAGGTGAGGTTGGTAAGTCGAGAAAGTTGCTATCGTTGTTAGAGAAATGATAGATTAATATAACACTCGTCTCCTTAATTAATTATTAAATTATGTGATCTGTTTTAATTATATATTTATATGCAAAGTTATGTGTCATGTGTAATATGTGTTATGTGTTCTTTGTGCCATGTGTTCATTGCATTGGATTAATGAGAACATACAGAGAGAATTGGGAAATAAACTTGTCTGAATCAGTAAATCATACGCTTGAACTTAAATATTTGTGATAGGCAATTAGAGCTTGAATCATTGTAGTATGGTTAGATTTGGTGTAAATTGAGATGGTGCGAGATTAGAATTACACAAATTAAGAACATATGCTTTATTAAGCTAATTTAAAATTAATTAGAATTTATTAGTGCTAGGCAGAAAAATAGAAAGAGACAGGAATAGATATTTGTAGAGAGACTTGGGAGAGGTCTAGAACAAAAGGAAGAGAAAAGGGAAAAAACTCTAGAGCAAGAAAGAAGAAGGGGAATTGAGCAATCTTCGCCAAATCAACAATTTAAGGTAAAAATCTTTTTTAAACCTATGATATGAAGTTGTATTCTCCATGAAATGATAGAATCAAAGGTGAATCAAGAACAAAAGTGGTGTAAATTAGTGGTAAGAACCCTAAAGAGGAAAAATATAGAAACTAGCTTAAGATGTGACTCCACATGGCACTCTTCATGTTTAAACACTTGATTCCTTGCATAAGATTGGTACTCAAACCCTCATGTTCTATGACTTTACATTTCTATTTTTGCATTTGATATTTCCTTTAACAACTTGAGTTTGATTTGGAATTATGTTTTCTAATTGAAGTTAGATATGTTGAAATCAAGTTGTTTTTAGGTGTTTTGAGCATTGATTTTCATGAAATCGAAGTTGGATTTGAAAAAGGAAAGAGTTTCACTTTCAGCAGATTTTCAAACTGGTTTTCACCCAGATCGCTCGAGCGGCCTGGGCCACTGCACGAGCGGCCAAGCTTCAATCGGCTAAAATTGCATTTTGCTTAACCACAGCTCGTGCGGCCAATATGGCAAGTTTAGTCTGTTTTTCTGTCTATATTTTTTTACTTTTGGGCCTCCGTTTACATGGTTCTCAAGTGGTTTTCATATGCATTTGCATTTCCCAACTATAATGGGAATTAAGGAACGAAAATGAGAGATTTAATGATGAGGTAACGAGCAAACTGAGCCATTGAGAATATATGTTGAACCATTGTACTTGAATGTATTTATGGGTTAGATGCCACATTCTAGCCACGTGCTTCACGGAACTAACTGTGAGTAACAATGTTGTAAAGATATGTTCAAGCTATATTTCTGACTGTTATTGTTAATGACTGTTTGTAAAGTGATATGATTTAGTGAGTGAATGAGTATTCCACCTCATGCAATATGTTTACATGGCCCTTACCCGAGGGTAATAATATTGTGGTTTACGTTCACATGGCCCTTACCCGGGGGTAACAATACCGTGGTTATGTGGCCCTCGCCCGAGGGTAATAATACCGTAGCTTATATTCACGTGGCCTTTGCCTGGAGGTAATAATACCATGGCCAAATATGTACAAGAACTATGATCTTAAAGACCACTATATATACACGTGGATTGCTATGCTTTTATTTAACGAACATGATACTGCTATGTGAATGGACTTGTTACAGTAACTGATTGACTTCTTTATACATTTGTTATTCATTGGGCTTTAGTTCACATTTTATATTTAATATGTAGGTGATCAAGCTCTAGAAAGCACCTAAGAGCGTCAACCTACCTTTTGTTTTGTAAAGCCAACCGTTTTGCCTCCCTTCGAGGTTTCTTTTGGACTAAGTTCAAGGCTTTTGGGTGATTATGAGTTCACCTTTTTGTAAAGTGATCAAGTGACCTATAGTTAAAATATTTTGTTTTATGAATTTTAATTAAGGGATATAATCCCCTCAATGTTGTATATGATTTTGGTACATGTGTATGATATAGTATTGGGTGATTGTACAGTGATGCGTATAAAAGTTTGTTTATTCATCTTAGTTTCACAGCTCATTGGACAATGTAATGCAATATCATTGGCTTCTGTTAGCCCCTTATACTATTCACTGTTAAGCAGACCTTTGGTAATCTCAGATTACTGGCCAGTGACGTCTCTAATCCCATGGGACGGGGGTTGGGTCGTGATAGAGTGGTATTAGTGCACGAGTTATACCGTACACATACATCCAAATGAGCTATAGGATGTCTTAGAAAATAAATTAGGCATTGTATTGCATGTATGAGTGTGTGTGAATTTGATATATGCATAAATGATATGAATGTGAGAACTATCTTGCCTATGTTTATTATTTCTTGTTTTCTATAGATAAATGGAGAATGCAAGAAATGTAGATGACTCAGAGTCGTCGGATGCTAGAATAGATAGGTTGGAAAGAATGGTAGAATTGTTGATTGAATCTTTGAGGCAAAGAGAGCATGTCCCACCTCCTCCTCTACCTCTGGTGCAACTTGAACCGATTAACAATGACGACATTATAGCCCTAACACAGAAGTTTAATAAAATGAAGCCGCAAACATTCCAAGGAGGTCTTGATCCGTTGAAAGTCGGGGTTTGGATCTTGGAAATAGAAAAGTTGTTTTAAGTTTTTCCATGTTCAGAAGTACAAAAGGTTTTGTTAGCTACCTTTACTCTTCAAGAGAAAACAAGATTGTGGTGGATGCTAGTCTGAGAAGGCAATAATTCCATGACATAGGCTTAATTTAAGGAGACTTTCTATGAAAATATTTCCGGTAGTAATGGGACGATGTCCTCACCTTCCTCTACGTTAAATCTATCCACACTCAGTGGCTTATAACTGAACGGCCTCGGGCCTATCATTAGCAAAGCAGAACGACTTCAAGTCCATAAGGATATCATTATTCAATATCGCACATAAGTTTCCGATTGTTCATCACAAGGCGACATAGTTAGCTTACGAACAACAGAATGCCAATAATACTTATTAATGATAAACGAAATATGTCGCTACAGTACTATTACTCACAGTGATGTGGCGGAGCGTTAGTTCTCTCCTGTATGTGACCTACACACACACGAGTCACTTATAAGTTAGTCTCTTTACTTTGTAATCCATATTTGATTCGTTCCATTCACATTCAATTACAAGCATTTAAAAGCGTTAAACACACATTTTAGCAATCCTAGAGGGTCAAACAGCAGAAAAGGAAGACACTGATTGTCTCCCCTTGGGCCGCACGTGCGGTAGTCCCCTTCGTACGTGCGAGAAAGTGGCCGCACGTGCTGTAATCCTCCCCCGCACGTGCTTTAATTTTAGTAGCTTAACTTCGAAATTCCCTGTTTTCCGCATGTGCGACTGTGAGCCCTGCACGTGCGGTGGTGTTTCCTGGACGTGCGGTCATGACCCCCGCACATGCGGTCACTGTCTTTATTTTGTGCAGTCTGAATCAAGACACAAATTCATCAAAGTCATTACATCACAAAGGGGAGAAATGGAAAACCAACTCAATATAATGGCATATCATCGTTATAATCATGGGTTACAAGCTATAATACCACGATAAACATAAATTACAAGTCTAATTAGGCCATAACCTCTTCTTGATTCGTATACACAATTCAATACCCTTTTGTATGGTTTCATTTGACATATGAACAATATATATGTATAACCATGTGAAATCAACATGAAAATCAAGGAATAAGATATAATTCCTCTATATAACTCAAATTAATTCCAACACAACCAAGTTATAAGAAAACTTTTCCAATTAAGCAATTATCACACACTTGATCCCAATCACAAACCCTGGGTTGCATGAATGTAAGAGGAATTCTTACTAAGTTCGAGAGAGAGGTTATACAAGGTGAATTAAACCTACCTTGAGCTTAGATCTCTACAATTCTTCTCAATTTCCCAATCTTCCTCCTTGTTGAAGCTCTCACTCCCTCTCTAACCCTCTCATTCTCTCAGGAGATATTTTCTTATGATATACCAAGTAGCCAAGTGAGGAGCTTAAGAGAGTTTTATAAGAGTTGACCAAAATTTAATCAATTTAATCATTCCGAATCAAATTTTCACAAAAATTCATATTATGATCTATAAATCATGCTGATCACAATTATAAAGTAAATTTTAGATTATCAAGCTTCTAAGGCTTTCAATTACTGATCCAAACATTTCAATTGTAACAGATTTTGCTCATAATCTATAGATATAAGTCCATAACCATATAATTCACACAATTAAGCTTAATTTCACATGGAATTTCACATTAAGCACATAATATGAGGCTGAAAGCATACCGAAAAACATATAAAGAGATCGGGTTATTACAATGACAGTGGCTGAATATGAAGCGAAATTCACAAAACTTGTATGCTATGCGCCACACATGTGTAGACACCCCATTTTTGACCACCAGTAAGATTTGGGCTCTTTATTTCAAACACCGGATGATGAAAGTTATACTGTGCAATCTTTTGAATTCTCAATGAAGGAATTTGATTTCGAGCTCTAATCCCAAACCTTACACCTCATCTTGGCCAAAATATTTAGACCTTAAAAACCCTCATATTCAAAATATTTTTTCAAATGTTTCTACGATGTTCCGAGGCTCGTATTTTGTTTAAAATATTACACTTTTCGATAAACTGAGTAAGGACAAAGTGAAAATAAATGGAAAGGAGGTGAAATCTTTGAAAAATA